TCCGTGACACAACCTACACATATTTAATGAAACATCGTGTTTTGACTCTTTTACTACCTAAAAATGCAGGCTTGGTTAACCAAGCTTGAGCTCATGAACTCTCTTAAGCCTAATAACAGTTTTTTTTTTAGAGTTCTCTCTCTCTCTCTCTCTCAATTTTTCTCCTCCAAAATCCTCCCTTCGCCTTCCTTGGTTTTAACTCCATTTTAAAAAGAGAAAGAAAATATGACAATTAGAAAGAAAAGTAAGGAAGTCAAGGGGTCGAGATTTATTCATGACATCAAGTAGTTCATAAGTTCCCTAAAAAATCTTCCTCTTATTGACTATTCCATTAAAAAAAACCCTAAAGGAGAAAGAGAGAGCTGAAGATCAATTGGCAGCGACTACTTGAAAATAACAGGTGTTGCATGTGGAAGATTTGTTTTGAAGAAAAAGACGTGCGTGGTAGCTTCTTAGAACTTGTTTTGTCCGTACAACAACATTCCAAGTTTGGTTTAGATCTAAAGAAGGTGAAGAGGCGTAATATGTCTAGATTTGTGTTGAAACTGCTTCAGTGCACAATGAGAGAAAGCCGTATGTCTAGATATGTGCGAATGACTGGTGATGAAACATAAAAAAGAGATTAGTGCATGGATCTATCTGGGAAGAGGAAAAGTTAGATCCGTGTGCAACTTGAAGGGGACGAACCACATTTGCGAGCGTAACATCCAGCTTTGCACACGGTGGAAGAGGCAGATCTATGTGCCACGACGACTCAGTTCTGTATGGGGAGAGAAGATGCAAAATGCGTGACGACGCGTGGTGGTTCGCCCAAAGGGCGATGATGCATGGTGATCTTGGTGATGGCACATGTAGTGGCGCATGGTGTCTCCAAAGAACAGGAACCAAATGTCCAAGGTAAAAACTTGTTCACCTTTCATGTTATGTTTATTTCTAAAAGTATTTGTTGTTTAATGTGTGTTATCTACTTTTTAAACGAGAAAATTAATCGAGTAGTAGTCGAGATTTAAAAAAATTATAGATCCAACCCAGTAAGAATCCCAACATCTTTTTTTGATCGAACTCCGTATAAGAATACTTTAACCATTCTCTATAATTGTTTAGTCGAGACTTAACACTAAAATATCTAAATTATAAACTGTTTTGAGGTAAATTCACTTGTGATGTTGATGATGGACATATACATATATTTTATTCGTATTTTAAATGCATATATGCTTTTCCATGATAGTGTATGTGTACCGTGTGTGTGCACATTTTTTGTGCATGTAAAATTACAAATAAATATGAAAGCACGTATAATGTATATGTGTTCAAATTATAATATATGTGTGTGTAGTATATATATAGGAACATGTTTTTAATGAAAAGTAGGAATTTTTAATATAATCTACGTATTAGGTTACAAAAATAAATGGTATTGCATGGCAATTTTTGTATATATAATTAATATTATAAGCTTTATAATATAGTTATAAAGTTGTATCATATAACATAAATTTATAAAATTAAAAGAATGTGATATATACATGTAAATTATATATGAATGTGAATATAAGGATTTGCTAATATGTATGTATAAACATATGTATGTGTATAGGTAT